ATGGCAGTAACCTAACACCAGGGACTGGACCTCCTTGGGTACCATGATTTGTTCCCCCTTCCAGAAGAGTCCCTCCTTATTCAGTAGGGAGACTCCAGGCAGGTCAGAGACCCGGGTGGAAGCAGCCTGCAATTTAGACAATCAGCTCAGATTGAAGCAGTAGGAAGCTACCTGCTGGCAGGATGGTGTTGTGGCTGGGGGTTCTCTCCAGGGTCCTCAAACATCCGGGAAAGAGCATCTGGCTTAGTGTTTTTTTGACCCAGGACGATACGTTATGTGGAGGTTAAACCTTGCAAAAAACAATGCCCATCTGGCCTGGCGTGGACGGAGGCGTTTTGCGGTTTTCAAGTACTCGAGGTTTTTGTGGTCAGTATAGACCAGAATGGGATGTGGGGCCCCCTCTAGCAGATATCGCCATTCCTCCAGAGCGGGTCTTAATGGCCAGTAAATTCCGATCCCCAATATCATAATTCCATTTCCGAAGGGGAGAGCTTCCTAGAAAAGAAAGCCACTGGGTGCATCAGCTCCTTGGCCCCTACCCTCTGTGATAACACTGCTCCTACAGCCACTTCCGATGCATCTACCTCTAGTATGTAGGGCAATGATGCATCAGGATGGTTCAGAATGGGAGCCGTTGTAAATAGCTTTTTCAATGCCTCAAAAGCTGCCTGTGCTGCTGGGGTCCATTGGAAACGTACTCCCACTTTGGTGAGCTGAGTAATGGGTGCTACCAGGCCTGAAAAGTTTCTTTATAAATTTTCTATAAAAATTGGCAAACCCAATAAACCTCTGGACGCCCTTCTTATCCGTGGGGGCAGGCCATTCCAGGATGGCCGAGATCTTTTGAGGGTCCATAGCGATCCCCGTGGTGGAGATAATTAGACCAAGAAATGAGATGCTTTTCTGTTCAAAACAGCATTTCTCAGCTTTAGCGTAGAGTCCATGCTGACGGAGACGTTCTAGCACACTCCTAACATGTCCCCGATGTGCTTCCAAAGAAGAGGAGAATATCAAGATATCGTCCAAGTAGACGATTACAAAAATGTCAAGGAAGTCCCTGAAAATGTCGTTGACAAAGTGCTGGAAGGTGGCTGGTGCATTACATAACCCGAAAGGCATGACTAGACACTCAAAATGCCCGAACCGAGTGCGAAACGCCGTTTTCCACTCATCCCCTCACGTATCCTTACCAAGTTATAGGCACCCTGAGATCCAGTTTAGAAAAAATGGATGCTGATTTTAACCCCTGAAACAACTCTGTGAACCAAGGAAGGGGGTAGCTGTTTTTGACCGTAATATTGTTGAGGTCCCTGTAGTCAACACAAGGTCTCAGGGATCCGTCCTTTTTCTCGACAAAGAAAATCCCTGCCCCGGCCGGTGATGTGGAAGGGCGGATAAATCCCTTACGGAGGCTCTCATCAATGTATTCTTTTAGTGCCCCTAGTTCTCGCTCAGATAGTGGAAAAATGCGGCCAAAAGGGATTTCTGAACCTGGGAGCAGATCAATGGGGCAATCATATGCTCGATGTGGGGGAAGAACTTCTGCCCCCCGTGGACTAAATACATCCAAGAATTGGTGGTAGGCCGCAGGCACAATTTGGGCTAACTCGGCATCAGGGCTTACAGCCAGTAGGGCCTGTGTATTTAATGATAACTTAGATAAACAATGTTCCTGACAGTATTGTGAGGGAAAACTGGACTGACCCGGTCTTCCAGTCAATCTGGGGGTCGTGAGCTCATAGCCAGGGGAGCCCCAGAATAACTGGAAATAGGGGGACGCGATGGCATCCAAACGGAGGAACTCCTGGTGATGTCCCGCCACTGTGGTGTGTATGGGAGGAGTCTCCCGATCTACCGTCCCCGATTTTATTTAGAGACCCATCTGCCAAGAAAATATTCAACCCATGTTCTTTGGTGAGTAAACGGTATCTGATGCTGGGTAGCAAAAACTGAGATCAACAAAGCAGCTACATGCCCCGGAGTCAATAATAGCCGTCACCTGTATGCTTCCTCCTGGGAGCTGAAAAGACACAGGTACAGCCAAGTGAGTGGGGTTGCCTGTGCACACAGTAGATATATTAGAGAAAATAGAGGACTTACAGTATTTTCTCCGGACAGGAGCGCACCATATGACCCGCTGCTCCGCAGTACAGACACAGGTTGTTTGCCCGACGCCTCTGTCGTTCCTCAGTAGAAAGGGAAGGCCGCATCAAGCCGAGTTGCATAGGTTCGGCTCCCTCTGACGGCTCTGGGCCCCGATTGCCCGACACTGACCCTTGGCATGACTGGTACTCTTGGCAGCATCCATGAGGTTCTTTGCCCCTGGCTGGACCTCTCCTGTCTCCTTTCCCGCACTCTGCGATCGATTTGGATTGCACGATCTATTAGACCTTCCAAGGAGTCTGGAACCCCTATTCTTGCCAACTCTTCCTTCAGTGGTTCCGACAGTCCCAACCGGAACTGGTGGCGCAAGGCTGCGTCGTTCCATTGTGTATCTCCACTCCAGCGCCTAAACTCCGCAGCATAATCCTCTGCAGCCCGGCGTCCCTGTTGTAGAGAATAGAGGGCTGCCTCAGCCGAGGCAGCTCGATGCGGCTCATCGTACAGCTGTGCCATTGCCTTAAAGAAGGTGGCCACAGTGTTCAAATGTGGGTGGTGGGCCTCCATCAGGCGATGGCCCATCCCTGAGGTTCGCCCTGCAACAGGGATATAACAAATCCCACCTTCACCGATTCTGAAGAGAAGGTCCGGGGTTGCAGGTCAAAGTATAGCTGGCAGGAGTTTTGGAAGGCCCTGAACTTCCCTCGATCCCCACTGAACCGCTCAGGGGTCGGTACTCTTGGTTCTGGCAGAGGAATTGTAAATGCTGCTCCAGTGGAAGGCCCTGCTGAACCCGTGGCGGGAGGTGTTCCCACTGAGCCCCAATGTTGTGGGTGTTGGTGCGGCCAGGCTCTGAACCTGTCCCTCCAGGTGCTTGTATCCCTCTTCCAGGGTCTTCACCGCTCGTGTGAGTGCTGCCAGATGTTGGCACATCTCTTCCCAGGGTGAAGGTCCTCCTCCAGACTCTGTCATGGCCGTATGGTTCTGTCAGGGATCCTACAGTGGTAGCCTCTAGCACTCCACAGACCGGATTCCCCCAAGGCGCGGAATCTAAGTCCCTACCTGCTTGTTCACCAGGGCCCCTGATGGTGGGGATGGACTTGGAGCAGGCCGAGACCAGGTCGCGGGCCCTTGAGTTCACCCAGCTGTGGTTAGAAGCACCGTTGGAGGTGTATAGCAGGTGAGAGTCTGATGTGAGGAGGTCACAAGAGCAGCGTCAGGCAGGCTGGGTCGGTAACAGTGGTGGCAGCGTGGTACAAAGTCAGCAGGCAGAGGAATAAACTGGTCACACAAGCCGGGTTCGTTAACAGGAGATCAGAACGTGCAGGGTTAAGCAGGAGAATGGTCAGACAAGCCAGGGATCAGAGCAGGAGAAGACAGCAGTATCAGGAACAGGCTGGGTCGGCAACAAGGTATTCAGGAACACTGGATCAAACAGGAACACAGGTAACAGGTAAGACCATACGGCACTTGAGCATTGCAAGAGCTGGGTTTAAATAGGCCGCCCAACTCCTGACAGGCGCTCCTGGGTCCTAGTGCCTGCCTGCCTGTATGTCTTGTCAGGATTCTACGCATGTGCAGATTCGATCGCCGAGGCGATCTTCCCATTCCCTGACAGTAACCTTTGGTTAATTCACACTGAAGGTGAGCTCTGGTGACCTAATCAACGCAAGTCCCCTCAGAGGAAGAGCAAGCAGAGTACTGGAAGGAAACATTAGAAGTGGGATGGCCTTGGCAGTCTGAGTAAATTGATGCTATCCCATCCACCACAGAAAATTATCATAGGACACTCAGGGCCAACACTCCAGAATTTGTGCCAAGGGCCAGAGAAGATGAAGAGCAGGGAGAGACACCTGCTGTTTAAGCCAGAAAGGTGGATGTACTCTATCCACAACACCTCGAACCTAAAAGGAAGTCCTCTGTCCAGAGGGAAGAAAGTGAGGGAATTGATTTGTCCCCCCATAGAAGACTGACTTACAAATCTCAGTGGATGATTCCCACAGCTCATCTCTAAATAGATCATGGTGGGAAGTCTCCCTGCCCACAACTTATGATAGGCGCTGTTACCTAAAGTGTTATAAAACCCTCAATGTAAAAAACAACATACAGCAGCATACTGCATATCTGTACACATGTGCCGTGTGTTAATGGTGCAAAGGATGATTTGACCTGTAGTCCCTCCATGGGCATTCTCTGCAAGGACTGGACATTTGGGGAAGTGGCACTGGAGGATCAGAAGCAAGCCACTGTAATGCAATTAAAAATAAGTGACTATGGACATATTTTTGCACAATGTACACACATTGCGATGTATGTTTAGAGTATACACATGAGTACATTAGAACTAAAAAAATGGGAAGACTTAAAATACTTTAATTCTGAGTGAGACTTTATTTAATATGTTTAGTGCGTGGTTAAAACTAAATTTCATATTCTGTGGGAACCAAAGACTCTTGGTGGGGAGAGTGACTTTGCTGTGCTGGCAGAAGTACTGAGACTACAGGACTGAGGCCTTAATTTCCTGACTAAAGTCTCATTTTAATATAACCCACCTACATTACAGGTGTGTCAGGGAGTTTGGATTCTGTTAGGGTGGTCACCACTGGATGTGGCAGAGTGACCCATATATCCAGCAGCTCCTTAGGGGGTAGAGCCAAACTATGTAATGCAAAGACCTTTCTGACTGAATAAAAATTACACGGTATGGTATGGTAGGTGGGCTGTTGCAATACAAGCTATTGGTAACATTTGATTGTCAAAGCTACGGAAAATCAAACTGATGTGTGGCCATCTTCTTACCAGGAGAGGAATACCAATCACATTCTGCGGTAGGGTGGGTGCTTATTGTGTGTCAAATAGCAAGGTTTCTATTGTTACAGAGCTGCAGCCTGATTGAAGGCCTTTTGTTATATTTGGATGATTGCAGGGGTTTTATCATTATGGTCCTACTTTGCATAATGTACTTATGAGGTTTTAAGGTGGGGTCACCTTAATCTACTCTGCCTGCACTCTACATCCTATACTATATCCTATGTATCAGGGGCGGACTGACCATTGGAGCAATTGGGCACTGCCCGAGGGCCCGGGGTCAGTAGGGGGCCCCATGAGATGCCTCTGGTACCTTTCATTGGCTTTTTCATATGCTTTTTTTGGTGTGGGTGAGGACACAGGGGCCCCATGATCCCCTATTGCCCGGGGGCCCCATGAGTTGTCAGTTTGCCCCTGCTATGTCTACATGTATATATCCCATTGTGGAAAGCGTTCATTAATTGAGCATAAGTATCACAGTGTTCTGTGTTTGTCCAGCATGAAGGAACCAGCTTATAATAACCCATCCGGAATAGTATTTATCAGTCAATTATTATTATTATACAGTATTTATATAGTGCCAAAGGGTATGCTCAGCGCTGTACAGTAGCAAGGGGGACAGAACATGAGACAAGACAGTAACAATACAATACACGAGGGGTTCGAGGGTCCTGCTCTTTCAAGCTTACAATCTAGGATTGAGGATGATTTACTAAAACTGGAGAGTGCAAAGTCTGGTGCAGCTGTGCATGGTAGTCAATCAGCTTCTAACTTCAGCTTTTTCAATTAAGCTTTGACAATAAAATGTGGAAGCCGATTGGTTTCTATTCAGATCTGTACCAGATTTTGCACTCCCCAGTTTTAGTAAATCAACCCCAGTGTCTTGTCCAACCAGCAGCTTCAAACCTGCACTTCAACACAACTGAACAGTAATACAAACCAGACACAGCTTTGTTATATATCTAATATAGACTTTTCAGATTCAATTTGTGTCCTTAAGTGTTAACGTGTTTTATAAAGAAGTTGTAAAATGTATACTGGCCCTCTGTGTAGAGTTATAACATTTTTCTACCCCCAAAACATTAATAGTAGTAGATCTTCATCCTGGTATGTATGTTTGACAGCAAGTGTTTGGCTGCACATGTGATTTACAGTCATGCCTCTTTTATCTCTGGTCACTTTCTATTTTCCTAACACGTACAGTCCAATAATAGCATGATGTAAAGATTGCATAGCTCTCCCAGCACAAACCATTTAAAAGATAATTTACTCCAGGAGCCTTTCTACTCTCTGTGTTCATTTCACATGCTTGGGTTCAGCTGATGTTTTCTACTTTTTTAGGCTGAAATCCAGGCAAATAGCTAAATGCATTGATCAAGCACATATGAGAGATAATTTATCTGCTATCAGATTTGTATTTCAATCCATTTATGCCTGAGATTTACACACTTCCGCCACACAGCACAGCCAGGTGGATGACATCACTTGCAATTATAGAGTACAGTGATGTCATCTCCACCCCCAGCTTTCTGACTAAATAAAGATCAGCAGCAGACTGATATGGGCATCCCTCTATTCTTTCTTCCTATCAGCATTTTTCCTATCAACACATTCTGTGCAGCATACCCGATGGTCTCCCAGTTCTGCCTCTCCCTCTGCCAGTCTGAGTGCTGCTGTAAAAGGGATTGCAAAAGGTTAATAAGCAAATTTAGGTACTAGTTGTATAAAATACATTCAATGATTTAATATTGAATGCTGAGCTGCATTACTTGTGTCTTTTATATCAACCTGCAGTTGTTTAAAAAACAGTTACAGTATGTCACAGAAGTGAGTACACCCCTCACATTTTTGTAAATATTGTATTCTATCTTTTCATGTGACAACACTGAAGAAATGACACTTTGCTACAATGTGACGTAGTGAGTGTACAGCTTGTATAATAGTGTAAATTTGCTGTCCCCTCAAAATAACTTGACACACCGCCAGGGGCGGACTGACAACTCAAGGGGCCCCCGGGCAATAGGGGATCATGAGGCCCCTGTGTCCTTGCCCAAACTCAAAAAAGCCTATGAGAAAGGTACCAGGGGCATCTCATGGGGTCCCCTACTGACAGTGCCCGAGTTTCCAAATGGTCAGTCCACCCCTGCACACCGCTATTGATGTCTAAACCGCTGGCAACAAAAGTGAGTACACCCCTAAGTGAAAATGTCCATATTGGGCCCATTTAGCCATTTTCCCTCCCCGGTGTCATGTGACTTGTTAGTGTTACAAGGTCTCAGGTGTGAATGGGGAGCAGGTGTGTGAAATTTGGTGTTATCGCTCTCACTCTCTCATACTGGTCACTGGAAGTTCAACATGGCACCTCATGGCAAAGAACTCTCTGTGGATCTGAAATAAAGAATTGTTGCTCTACATAAAGATGGCCTAGGCTTCAAAAAGATTGCCAAGACCCTGAAACTGAGCTGCAGCACAGTGGCCAAGACCATACAGTGGTTTAACAGGACAGGTTCCACTCAGAACAGGCCTCGCCATGGTTGACCAAAGAAGTTGAGTGCACATGCTCAGCGTCATATCCAGAGGTTGTCTTTGGGAAATAGACATATAAGTGCTGCCAGCATTGCTGCAGAGGTTGAAGGGGTTGGGGGTCAGCCTGTCAGCTCTCAGACCATACACCACACAGTGCATCAAATTGGTCTGCATGGCTGTCATCCCAGAAGGAAGCCTCTTCTAAAGATGATGCACAAGAAAGCCCGCAAACAGTTTGCTGAAGACAAGCAGACTAAGGACATGGATTACTGGAACCATGTCCTGTGGTCTGATGACTCCAAGATCAACTGATTTGGATCTGTGAGATACTGTATGTATTTCATCTGTGTAAATAACAATTAGCATGAAGTCCTGCTTTATTTGCTGGTTGACCACTCTATAGCTTTGTTCCTGAAACAAATATTAAATATGCAAAAATATGCAAAGTTGTGCTGCTGCATATTATAAATTTAGGTTAGGGGCTGTTATGTGTCCTCCATTTTATCAGATTTCATAGATTTAAGATTTCAAAGAATATAAATTGGGGAGTTCCAGATGATATAATATGTTAGGCAGCATGACTATATTCTGCATGTTGCATCAATAAGGAGTTTAAGCCAGGCACTGGTCTGAGTTTTAATTAAATCTATTGAAGGCTATTTGAATGAAAAACAATCAGATAAATGCATTTATATGAATACCAAGTACAAAGCCTTCTCATCTCAGTTCATTTTTAAGGGCAGCTTGATTTATGCTCACAAAGAGAGGAAAAGATACACTATATCTGTATAATGTGGATCCTGACCAATTTATACAGAGGTCTATTATGCGGCAGAGATAGTTCTAATGTCCAGAATAGCTTGCAGAGGGAGAACCAGAGCTACTAAATATAGGAGTAATCATCAGCATATAATGCAATATTTATGTCTGTGCTAAATTTAGCAATACCACATATTTGGAAATTCTGTATAATAAGGGTAACAAATGGTTCTATGGCTCTTGCCATAGGTGGATATCCCTGCTTATTGTTGTGTTCTATACAAAATGGGTCCAATATCCAGACTTTTTATCATTTTAGCTACATAGGAAAAGTATATCAGGATGAATCTGTTGTACATATTTTTTTTATAAACAATATAATATCTTTCCTTTAAGTAATGCAATATTTTTACTGACTGCTTGGGCTTGATTTTCTAAAAAAGTGGAGACTGTTGCTTTAGTAAATTGATTGTGGACTTATATTATAGATGTTTACTGCAATATTCCAATAATTTGCAAGAGAAAGTCCATGTTCTTTATTTGTGTATATATACAGTATATCCACTTAAGGTCAAGTCAGGCCTATACTGACACTTTTTGTTTACACGTAAAAATCAACATTTTTTTTTGCTAGAAAATTATTTAAAACCTCAAAACGTTTTACACACATATATATATATATATATATATATATATACTGTATATACATACATATATATATATATATATTTAGCAGAGGCCCTAGAGAATAAATTGGTGGTTGTTGCAATTTTTTATGTCACACAGCATTTGCGCTGCGTTTTCTTTCTTTTTAAATACACTTTGACGAATTAAAAGAACACAATATATCACCTGATTTTTTGTAAAATATGAAAGATGATGTTACGCCAAGTAAATAGATAATTAACATGGCAAGCTTTAAAATTGCGCACGTGTAATGATGACAAACTACTATACTTAAAAATCTCCATAGGTGACACTTTAAATTTTTTTTACCAGTTTAGAGTTACAGAGGGGGTTTAGCACTAGTATTATTGCTCTCGCTATAAACGTTCCCGCAGATACCTTACATGTGTGGGCGTTACCTACATATATATTTGCCACTGCGTGCAAGCATGGGGGGATGGGGGTGCTTTAAAACATTTTTTCAAATTACATATTTTATTATTTTTACACTGTCCTTTCATTTTTTTTTATTGATTTTATTGCTATCACAAGAAATGTAAACATTCCTTGTGATAACAATAAAGCATGACAGGTCCTCTTTATGGAGAAATCTGTGGTCTATTTGACCCCACATCTCTCTTTTACCCATGAAAGTATCAGATACAAAAAAATGGATCTAATGCTCCCCCCCCTCCTCCCAAAAAAATGGCATTGTTTATATCTGCCATAGACCAGAAGTCATGTCATGACATTGCTTCTGGCCTCCTAGGTCATAAAGGTGGATGGAGACAACCTGGTCTCTACTAAACTCTAATCAGCCGCTTGGATCACTTTTATTGGAAAGAGCAGTGGCTGCAGAAACTTTTAGTACCGGGTTATGGCATACTGCTACAGCCATAACCCCAGTAAACCACTTCTAGACCGCAATATCTATCTATCTATCTATCTATCTATCTATCTATCTATCTATCTATCTATCCCAGGGGTGGGCAAAATTTTTGACTTGAGGGCCGCAATGGGTTCATATATTGGACCCGGGGGCCGAACAAAGAGTAGATGAATGATGTTTATGTGTGAATTAATATAAATTAAATTAAAATTTGTAACATTTCAATCCCCATAGTACTATTCCCCCCCAAGTAGTAAGCCAAGTCCCCCCTGTGTCAATTTACTTACCTTTGCTCTGCGCGTTCCTCTCGC